TCTGTCCTGCATTTAGAGAAAGGACAGATAACTTGTTTTAGTCTACAGTATCCATCAGTCCAGTCCAACGTTGCTAATGGTGAGAAATCATGGGAATTGTAGGATAAATCTGCAGAATCACAAGTTGCCTATCTGGTTTAGCATTAAAACATATATAGGATAGGGCTTTTTCTTTAGGAGACTTACATGTCAGTATTGGCCTACTGATGATTAAAAAAATAGTGTTCAGTTATATTATTTTAAAGACAAGTGGTTGAAAAGCAAAATACAGTTATGCATGATATATGTTTTGTACAGTTATATTACTTCGTGCAACTGATAGTGGGTTTTGAAAGTAATAAGAAATTTAATATTTTATCATTTTCTGTTGGATGGCAGTCTTGGACAATTGTTCCCATGGACTGCTGGTTGTATTCTAGATGATGATTCAGAATCAGCAAGTGAAACATATTTCAGTGAGATTGCAGAGGATGGGCTAGGCTAAGATTTTGAGATACAGGAGGAGGAGGAGGAGGAGGTGATTATTCCAAGGCCAGGCTCTTCACCAAGCCAGGTAGTTGCTGGAAATGGCCAAGATGTACAGCCGGGGCTACAAGGAGGGGTCTCTGTGGATGAGGAATTCTCAGATGCAGGCCACCCTCCACCCCTGCCTGCCATTGATCCCATGGCAAAGTGTCAACAGAGGGGCCCAGTTGAATGAGCAATGCGTGGAGAGGAAGTGTGCTTGCCTTCATAGAGCCTCCCCCCCCCCCGAGTGGTTGGGGCTCAGGCATGTTCATAAGGAGAGTTATTGGAGATGAACACTAGGATTGAGTTCTGCAAACTGCTCTGTGGTGCTCAGAGATCTGTTTTGGGTGATTTGTACTTGGAAGCAATAAAGAAAGTTTGCAAGGAAAATGGTCATTTGCTGGTGATCGCTGGAAGGAAGAACTTTGGTTCCCCCAGAACTAGTAAGTCCTGGAATTTCAACCTCACTGGAGATGTGAATATGCATTGCAATCTAGTGTTTTAAGATACATAGCTTGGCAATATCTGTTGTAAATTCTGCCCCAAAAAAGTACTGTGCAGTTCAATTAAGATTGTACCTAGAGTATTATCACTAAGATGTTAGCTGCTACCTCTGCTTTCAGGCTTAAGATCAATCCCCACTCTTGGCCTTTTAAAAAGGAGTTAAGATGTTTCTTTATGATTTGACCTTTTAAATAGTTATTTGTGCATTTAATATAGTTTTATTGATTATATTCATTTATTTAATATTTGATTTACTTTATCCTACTTTAGCAACTTTTGTGCAAGATGATTTGAAGATATTACAGATAAATTAATGGAAATATTTCTAGAATAATAATAATATTAAGCATTCTTTCTTTACTAAATTGTTCATCAGAACATAGTTGCAGTAGCACTAATTCAAAGAATTCTTAATTGGAAACATGTTTTTCCATAATTAGTATGAACACTCCAGATGTTTTAGAGTGTAACTGACACCATTTCCAGACAGCATGGGTAATAATAAGGATTATAGGAGTTACAGTCCAAGACTCTGGAAGGCACCAAGTTACCTAACTCTGTAAGATCCAAAAGCTTTTTCGCTTGACTAGTTCTCACACACAACATGAAGTGTAAATTCTAGAAGGATAACTATTGATTCTGAATTAAGGAATTGAAATATAATAGCAAATTGTGAATATCTAAACCATTAGGACTGCAAGCCTATACACACGTACTTGGGAACATACCCCATTGAAAATGTAGATAGTTATGCTATGAATCTAGTAACCAAAAAGTTGAAACTAAATGCTTTATGGTCTTATTCACTACATTGTGTATCTTATTAACTAACATGTTTCTATGTGTAAGAATATTGCATGTCATGCATGTATTGTGTATAGATGTATGAACATAGCTCTGTTTGTAAGGTGTTTGTTATTTGCTGAAATGAGCGCATGAGTTGTCCTTTTTATTTCTATTTTGGTTCTTTTAGCAGAGTTCAGTGTAAAGATCTCATCACTGGAGAACTTGCAAAGTAACTGTGAGTTCATTTGAGCAGCCTGTCTCCTTATCCTCTAGCCTAAGAATCCCTCTGACTAATGTTAGAAGGCATCGACTTTTCAGAAACATATAAGTGTTATCCTAAATCCTTTAGTACAAGCAAATCTCTGAAATTAAGATTTTAAAAAACTTCTCTCCCAAAGTGGGAATTCTCTTTAAAACAAAATGTTTTTTAAAGCTTCTGTTGTGATTCAGGAATTTTACCTGAAGTAACTACCTTATATTTTCATAAGAATACTAATGTTCTCAAGGCTAAAATCGAATTAGATTTTAAGATAGTTTACAGGCTTCATTCTTCACCTCTGCTATGGCTTGCTAAGTTTATTGAAGCCAATGACTATTATTTTAATAGTGATTTGTTTAACGAAAAGCATTATGTTTTCAGAAATACATGCTTTAATACTTTCAATAATTGACAAACAATACATTTTGATGTATAAAAGAAAAATAAAAGCCTATTAGGCTAGTATTCATTTTGTATTGTACTCTTTTATATCTTGCTTTGCTTTGTTTTTTACTTTTACTTTGTTTTGTTTTACTAACTGAAGTCAGAATTTGGGCCTTCAAAATTTGCAGTTTGAAAGCAATTTTTAATTCATAATCCATGATGAACAAAATTCTGGGTCTGTAAATTTTTCATTATACACACTTGACCTTCTGAACTTTCTTTTTCTGCTTTTTGTTTATTTCTCAAACATACCACTTAGAATTGTGGAGATTAATTGCAGTGGGAAAATTTTGAAAATACTTAATATCTAGACATATATATTTTATCTGTGACATGGAAGAGCTTACTTACAATTCTAGGTGGTGGGGTGAATGAAGAAGTGGATGTTGATGTCATCATTTACTCAGAGGGCGAGAAGATCTGCCAGTCTTCTTAACTACAAAAAGAGCTCTCTGTTTATTCTGAATCTCTAAATTCTCAATTGTTTACCATCCCAAGGCTTGAATGAAAGTTTAAATTTGAGTAATTCTAGGCTTTTGAAGAACCTAAGTCCTCTTTCACTATCAATCCCCATTCAGATATATTAGGTAAGAGGAGACCAAACCCCAACCTCTGTGGAAGGTGGTGTGTGTGCGCGGGGGTTCCCTTCTGGAAGGAAGTATATATTTTGGATACATGAATTCCAGGTTTATTTCATGGCATCTCCAGGTAAAAGAAATGTGGGTAGCTGAGTTGGTAAATCTGCTGGAGAACATGGAGTATGTAACTGGATATAGTCCAAGGAAGTTTATTAGGGCTTGGCTCTTTAGAGTTCTCTTTACATTAATGAAGTGAAAACTTGGGATACAGATTTGTTTACTCTGGTGTAACAATGCTTCATTCACTCACTTTCTTTCAGGGAACCTCCATGATGTTGTCATCAAAATGCTGTTCTCCTGTGTTTTCTCCTGGGTGCTTTGGTCTCATTTGAGACTACAGAAAATCCAGCATTTTGGGAAAGAATAGAACAGTAGCACTATCTCCACATACACATGTTTGTTTGTTTGTTTGTTTGTTTGTTTGTTTGTTTGTTAAGCAGCACCTTAGTGCAGTTCTTCCATTTCTTCTAAGAGGCATGGTTTTGATGTCTGCAGTGACGTATCAGGTGGTTCAAACTATTGTCCCTTAACTATTTTAGCATACTATCACTAGATAGTGCTAGTGCTATCTCTTGGCATAATTTTGTTCATGTATTTTTACATGAAACTCTTAATTCTGTTTTAAATATATATACAATAATGTTAAATTAAAATATATTTTTCTACATACTGAAAAATTGATTAAAATATGTTGCCTTTCTAGTCTGTACCATTTAGGATCATTTTAACTATTTTGAAGTTTTTTAAATGGCATGCTCAGAATTGTCTCTTCTCAGTTCATCTCATGCTCACAAGTGTGGACTGGACATAGTGCTTTTGTGTGTGTAAATCCTACTATCTCCCACCTGAAATTTGGGAGGAAATTGCAATTCTGGAATAAGGGAAGGGAGGGTCTGAGTAACATTAGGCTTTCATGACCAGACTAGCAATGGTCTGACTTGGTTATATAGGTTCATGTGTTTCTCTTCCACCTCTTTTGGGATATTCTATTTTCAACACTTTGAAAAATATCACAATCTTGCTCTTCTCAAACTAAGTTGCATTATTCCCTTTCATCGTAACTTAAGAGTGAAGGAGGGTATAAGAGGCATTTTAATTACATATAGGTTTTGAATAACAGCAGCGAGCAGTATTAATTACATAATTTTAAGCACCAGACTTCTTACCAGCTGTCTTTACTTTTTAGATGCTAATATGCATCACTTCACTTACTTCAAAATGTGATAGGTCCGTTCTGCTGTGTTTAGGATCCCTCCTAATTCTGCAGAGTGGAGCCCCAAATGCTTGTTTCCAATGTGATAGCACCACTGACAAGGAGAAGGATATTTTAAAAACCCCAAACGGTGAGAGAGATGCCACATTAGTTCTAAGAGACCCATTTGATGAGAAAAATACCTATTCTGTGAATTGAATCTTTACAGCCAGTTCACTGGCTTTTTCAGACCTCCTTCTATCTGTTGTATCTTAATTACTTCATTAATGTAATTTTCTGATTAGTTAAATCTGAAAATAAACTGAATTCTTGCCAGTCAAAATCATTGTAGCTCAACCACATGAACTAACATTCTCACATATAAAAGCACTAATTTTAATAACATCTAAAAATTGTGATTGATCTTAACATCTAGTTGATCATTGTTGTTTGTTCTTTTCAATCGCAGACATCTTCAAGTTACTTTCTCCTATTTTTATTTTCTCTCATAAAATAGTTTCACATCTGACCTGTGCTTTAGTGTGAATGATGCTTGTAGTTGTTTATGCAGCTGTTCAGAATGTGTCCGACACTTCGTTGTGTGTATTGATCATTAGGAAGATGATTGGCCTCCATATGAATGAGTAAAAGGTGATTTAAAATGCTCTATTTCATTTACAGACAATGCTAATGAGGAAGAGTTGGAAAAGATCAAGTAAGGTAATTCTTACCATGTGGTCTTGAGAAGAACTGTGATATTGTACATTGTGTCACTCGAGCTTAAAGTTGTGACACAGATTATACTCTGCAAACCTATTTGATAGTTTTGGTAATGAAACAGGCCATTAAATAATGAGACATACTTTGTTATATATAGTGTTATATATAGTAAAGCACTTTCAAATTATTTCCATTGTTGCAGATCATCAGAGTACATCTGACTAGGTACAGTACGAGGATCAGTTTACTTTAATATTTGTTTCGTATGCTGTGCCTATTTTTATAACAATAAGACTAAAGTGACTATCGCCTTGCACAGGAATGGAATATTGCCTACTGGTTTATAGTTGTTCCCACTTGGGTGTAGGTTAGGCTCTTTTAAAACTGGTCTTATTACATCTTCTTTAAAAAGGCTGGCACTACTCCTTTTCTCAAAGAAGAGTTTATAACCTCCTGTACCCAGTCAGATATCCCCTCCCTATTAGGAGTAATGTTATGAAGGGCAAGGGTCAGGCAGTCAGCTAGATTTGGCCAAACACTTTGTCCATGCTATTGGGCTTCAACAACTGAACTTTATCCAACAAAACCAAACAGGACAACTGTACTGATGGAACTACATTCATTGCAGTATCCAATTTATAACTGATCAGAATGACCTTATCTTCAGGGTGCTACACAAACTTGTGCAGCATCCTACCAAGCGATCTACCAATTCTGTCCCTGGCCCAACTTGTAGCTCCACTGAATGACACTGGGAAGATACAGTGATGGAGGAAAAGAAGTCATTCTTTTCCAACATTACTACCACAGAATAGGCTTAATAATGAGTTCTAACTTGTGTTAAGTCCGATTTGGCATGAGTTTTCCTCCATCTGTGCTCTAGCCATCCTCTTTCTTGCTTTGTTGCCCTCAGCTCAACCGCATACCAAGGAACTGTCTGGGTTCTGCTCAGAAGGAGAGGGCACTTGAGTGTGATCATGTCCAGTGCCTTGGTCATCCCTTTATACTACGGAGTGGCCAGGGCTTCGACAGGAGCACTAGCAGGGAAATTCCCCAGAGCCCTCTAGAGTCTATTAGCCTCTATGGGCAAGCTATTTTAAGCCTTACAGAGAGGAAGGGCTGCTGAGAGTCTAAACCCTAGGAAGTGGTTTGAATATGACAGTGGTGGACATGTTAATTCTCCCACTCCCAGTTGAGAAAACCAGATCAAGACTTTATCCTCTTGGAAATAAATACATGTTGAGACAGCCCCAAAATGGTAGCCTCAAAGCCCTCAGCTGTTCTAGATTCAGAATCTTCATCATGGAAGCTGAGATTTCCCGAAACCATCATTCTGGGGGTCTTCAACACCAAATCCATGAGCACTTTCATCAGCTGAGGCAGGAAGTTTGAACTGTTGCAGGATGGAGGTACACCGGCAGAACCCTTAATCTATCTCAGATACCAAATAGAAAGTACAAATGCTCAAGATCAGCACTCAAACAGACAGGAATCCTGCCGAGGGGAATAGAATTCTTATAAACCATAACAAGTGTCTGAGCTCTCAGTTGATGCTGCACTGAGTACCTCTAGGTGCACTGAGTATCTCTAGGATACAACTAGGCGAGACTAAGCTCTCGCATTCTCCCAACCAGACCTTACCAATGCATACCAGATCAGCCATCTCCTCCACAATTAAATCATTATTCACATTTCCCCTTCTCAATATTACTAGCTATGGAATTGTGTGAAGACATCCTAATATTAAATGGTTTATAGAGTGGCTATGAGTTGCAGCAATTCCTATTCATTTATTTGACTGGTACTCCTCTTTTCTATAAAAATGGCCATCAAGACAGTTTACAGTCTTGATAAATCTTGATATTACAATAAGACATTTTAAACACTTAAAACAGTAACACAGGAAAAATAGCCTCCCATCCAACCAGCTCGCTTATGCACCAAAAGCACATTTGAATCAAATAGTGTTTGCCTACTCATGGAAGAACAGCAGAGGGGGAATGACCCTAATCTTCCTCAATGGAGTTTTATAGACAGGGAATGGCCACCCAGAAGGCCCTTGTTGTGTTGCCACCAAACACACCTCTGAAAGGTCTCAGAAGAAGGGCCTTTCCAAAAGATTTTAAGAACTGGGTGAGTTCGTATAGGAAAAGGGGGTCTTTCAAGTATCCTGGTCCTAAATTATAGGTCATAACCAGCATGGTGAACTTTGCTCATAAACAGATTGGTAGCCAGTGAAGCTCCAATGAGTGACATGCTCTGTGTAACCTGCCTGGGTTACAACATAAGTACCGTTGTCTGCCACTCTGTGTATAGAAATTGATGGTAGCCATCACTGGCTGTGTTATTGTACAACCTGGTTTACACTGACACTTCCATACACATATAATCACATATGTAAGGAATGTCAGGGGTGATTACACAGATAACAAAAGCAACTGACTTGCATGCATGAACCAAGTCTTATGAATTTCCTGTGCTAGCCTTGTTCACAGGAACACATTTGTAAAAAGCTAAAATGTACATCAGAAAAATGCACATGAACTTGGTATCTAATGGTTCCTGAGTACAAAAGTACAAAGCAGGCTTAATGCAGATGAGCAGGAACACAGATGCATAAAAAATCTGGTTATTTTGTCAGGATTGAGGAATAACTGATCCCCTAGTGTAATGTCACAGCAAAAGATAAATGCAAATTTAATGTGTCCTTTGCAGTCCTACAATATTGGTGGCTCAGTTATTTTGCAATCCTGACAAAATACCCTGATTTTTCTTCATTTGTTTCTTGCTGATCTGCACTGAATGATTTAGATGTTAATACTATGTCCAAATTTGGTAATTCATCTTAAAAAACAAAACAAAACCTTCCCACTGAGAGAAGTACGAAGAGTCACACCAGGATTTTTTATGGAATGTAGATTTTGCCATATGAGAAAAATTTGTGATTCAGCATATGTAAGGGAGAACAGGAAAAAATGGACCCCAACAGTTATGTTAAACCACCTAGTTTAGTATCTAATTGAATATCAGCCATTAATATTACTATAGAGTAACTAGAAAACAGGCTTTGGTGTTTCATATTCTTTTTAAAATAGAAAACAGGTTTGGATCTGAAGTCACTTTTCATTCACCTGACAGTGTGTGTTAGGATTTCTGCTAACTTCAGCTACAGTCTTCCCTCCCCCGTAATACTTCATATCATGCTGGTCTTGGGTGGCAAAAGAAGCTGTAAAGAGAAGAACAAGGTGGAAAAATCCAGTCCCATGAACATGAATGCTCTTCTATTTACAGAAAGAGAGTTAGAACCCAAGCCACTGTGTTCAAATGGAAATTGAATATTTTTATGAATTGTATGTTATGGCTTTTGTGCTTCAGTACTAGCCCAAAATGGTTAGCGTGTTTCCAAATTCCTTGGAGTAACTGCTGATGTGAAATTGTGCCTCACAATCACAATCTTTTCATAGGCTAAATGAAATTTTTTCTTAATGTTTAATGTCCGGTTACTGTAAGAGCAGAAAGAATTTTCTTCAAGTTGAATTGTCTCAATTTGCTTTGACTTCAGTGGTGACAGAGCACCTGGAGTTGTGCATACTTAGTTAAGTCTTGCCACGTTCCCATTTAAGGAGGGTTAAACCTTTGGGAGCGTTATTTTTTCCACTAGTCTAGATCATCAAGTCAAACTACATCATGAGTGATAATAGGGCCTGTTTTTATGTACTGTCTGAAATTAATGATTCATACAAGTGATTCCTGTTAGCTAAGAGAAGAGAGCTAAGTGGTCCATTTAATTTTGCCAGTTTCAAGTGGCTTAGAGAGCATTCCTTGGTCCCTAACTGTGTCTCCAAGATCCATAGGAAGCTGTGACTCCCCCCCCACCCCTCCACTGAGCTCCAGCCTCAGAGGGAGAAGATCTGCTGATGCCGCATATATACCACATAATCCACATAAACTCCCACAGTGACTCATTCTCCTGAGACTAGAACCACTAAAATGGGTATGGATATTCTCCAGAATGGGAAGATGGGAAGAACAGGGGTGGCTGGGATGTGGCAGTGGCTGGAAGAGAGAAGACATGAATTCTTTAGTCTTTCAGCCCCCACCTTGGAAAAATTTAGATTCAGTCAAGAGCACATTTATATGAATGATGTTTTCTGTGTCTACAGAAGGGGAAAATAGAAGCATAAAAATGCAAGAATACTCCCATCACATTTTCAGCCTGTTAGCAAGTTGTCAGGGGCATAGGAGCACAGCTTCCGGTACTGGAGGTTATGTTCAGGCAGGTTAGGATTGCACTCTTAGTTAAAAAATAAAACATTCTGCTGTTGGAATTTTATTTGAAACTGTCATGATATAGCCTCAATCATTTCCCCCTCAGCGGATATTTCTGACAGATACTGCTTGGTCATTTTACCACAGGTCTCTTTGTCTGCTCATTATAGCCATAGCCAGTGCAAGAAGACAGCAGATAGATTTGCACTCAATACTTTCTCCGCTTTCCATTTTGAAAGAAGTCCTAAGCTAATTTTATTATTGCATAAACTTGAATTCATAATTCAGCCTTTTCTAACTTGGCAACCTGCTTTTTTGTGTGAGAGTTTGTTGAACTGGATTTTCATCTAAAATTACAAATTTTCATCACATACATATGTTAGCATTATGATAGCTGCTAACTCATTGTTGTCATGTGGACTCTGATGATCTTTCCCATATCTTTTTCATAATAATAACTGAATATGCACCTCTTTTTGTGTGTCCCTTTTAACTGAAGTTTATTATTAAGGTCTAGTTGTGGCTGGTTGTCTAGTGGTTCAGTTTATTGTAGTTTTTCAATTAATCTATTTGAATATTCAGTAAACCTGAGTATTATTCATCTATTTAGTGGTGGGAAGGAGGAAGATTCTGGAGATTGGAAAGGGGGAAAAATGTCCTTAGCGCCTTTCCTTCTTTTTGAAACATCCTTCATAATACAGGGAAGGTGGCTTTTTAAACTCACAGCTTACATTCCACTCAACCCTAATCCAATTCTATCCCTGGATATTTACTACAATCTATTAAGCACTCCCCTCTTGTCCCCCATCCCTCAGTTTTCTTTTTCCTGCCAATTGACACCTCAACATTCAACATTCAATATCACATGAAAGGTCACAAATCCTTCTTAGGCAGTTCTGAGGATTTAAAGGTTTTCTTTTAATAATAAACTTCTATTTAAATATTACGTTCTGAAGTATGTAGAAGCCATGACCTGCTTTTGGGTGGCCTGTTTTGTTCTAAATTGATATGCACTCCACCACAGGTTTACTGTTGGAGTGAATAATATGAGAAATGATTAACACATTGTCATGCACTATCAAATATAACAAAAGAATTGAAAGCATTTATTTCTACCCTATAAATAATTGCCATATTTTATGGCACACCTTATATCTAAAAAGTATGATGATATTAACAGTATAAACCTCTTGTCTGATAGAGTGTTCAAAATGAACAAGTGCAAAAACAATCTGTTTTCTTGATGAGTGTTGCATTCCTCATACTTAAGGCTATATAGAGTATGCCACATGGGTATAATAATCTGTATTTTATTGCACCTGTGAGTGAAGCCTCTTTTGATCGGGGTAATGGTAATGGTCTGGAATGTTCACAAATATTCTGACAGTTTATGGGACCCCGTATATGTTGGCAACATATAGGTATGTGAGGGAGTGTCACATGGAGGTCTGTTTTCCCCTGCAGAGGAGGGCAGGGCGTGTTCCAGTGGAGCAAAGCTCAGGGAACCAAGGTTCAATTTAGATGCCAGGAAGTACTTCCTGACAGTTAGGACCCCTAGGGTATGGAATGGACTTCTACAGGAGGTGGTTGAAGCCCCATTGGTGAGGGTGTTCAAGGATAGGCTGGATATGCACATGGTAGGCATGTCATGAGTGGAGTCGGCTGGAGCTGGGGGTCAGACTAGATGGCCCAGGAGGCCTGCTTCTGACTTGCCCTGTTTCTGTGTTTCTATGTTTCTGTATTGTGTAGCTGCAGTGCACCATCATAGTGGGGTGATGACTAAGATGGTCTAAACAGATAGAAAAGCAATAAAGACTCAGAAACCAAAATAATTCTTCTGTTCATTCTTAGGTTGGAATCTTCATAAAATGTGTGTGTTGGCTAAAGCAATGAAAGGCCAAACTAGATATGATATTAATATATAGTTGGATGTTGTGATTCTTGTTTTAAATTAAATTGTGTGCACTGCAGTTGTGGACTGTCTGCTTAGGATCAGGACCACAATGCAGAAAGAAAATATTAAATCTTTGGCATAGCCTTAGTCCTAATCTAGGCCCCTCTACACAGCTGCTATTTAATGCTGCTATGCTAAACTGGTTTTTTGATGCAATGTGCCTTTGCAAGAGCTGAACAGGGCTATTAAGGACAGGACATTATGGAGGAAATTTATTCATAGGGTCCAATAATTTGGAGATGACTTGATGGTATATTACTGCAAAGCAATACATGATTGGACCAAAAGTCATCTCACAAAAAATTGTTTTTAGTTTAATACTGTTATTCTTTAGTCTTTCCATTGCATTGGCAATCAGTTATTGTAGTACTTCATACTACCACAAAATCAGCTTAAGATTTATTTGGTAAAATCAAAATGAGTGACTACAGGTGATAACCAGCAATAACTAAGGAGAATTCAAGCAATATAGTGCCTTTGATTACAAAAAAATAAGCAGAAGGGAAATAAGATTAAGAAGGCTAGATTGACTGAGATTGTATCTAACCAATTTGCAACAGTTATGTATAGAGTGATGTTGGCTAACGGATTGTATTTGTTTTATGTAGTCATCTTCTGGGTACGCAAATGTGAAATCAAAGTTTGGGAGACTGCTAGAGAAGCTGCTCAGTTAGGTTGTTACTCATTTTAATTGCAGATCAGACAATTGCAGACAGTCAGTTACATGTCATCATGTAACAGCATTAAAATGATTCTTTGTTGGCATAACATAAATAGTCTGCTAACTGCCTGAAGTGGATGGTGTTTCTCCTGACTCATCCAAACAGTCTTACCTGTATGTATTTCTAGAGAAGAGCAGTGCTTGGGAACAAGATGATACTTGGCTTCACTGTTCTTGGGGCCACCAAAGCTGCACCCTTAATTTTTAGTATGAATGTAGGAGTTTCACTTTTTTTTTTGACATGCAGAAAGAGAAATAGTGCCAAAAGGTCAAGTAGTCTACCCCCACACTTGGGATATTCCTAGAACACCCTGCATTTTGTTTCAGGGATTTAGAGGCTAGGGCTACTTAACTAATGGTGTTGGTTTGGTATGCCCATGCTGGACACAATCAGCTAATTTTCAGGAATGTGTGTCCATCTGGAGACAGCTTGGATAGGCTGTAGAAACTGACATCACTGGGCTCAGCTTAATCTCCTTAGCTCAGGAAGCGGATCAGTTGGGGTGGCCGGATAAAGATGGAGAGAGAATGGCAAGCTTTTAGAAAGGATTGACATCTGATAGCTTCCCTGTGTGGTACTCAGCTAGTGCAGCTGGGGAAGCTAGATTCCAAGGAGAGCATGGAACATACTTAATGGAGGTTACCAATTCAGTGTGACTGAGGACTTCCCTCTGGATTACAGCTGGAGGCAGAGCCTCTTTCGTATCCTTTCCTCCTCAGAAGGATGGGAATAAACAGGATACCCAAAACTAAATCTTAAATGAGAGTACCCCTTACCACAGAAAAGATAAAAAGGAGTTTCTATTATATTTTTTAAATGAATGGCTCTAAAAACATAATGTCATGTAATGAAACCATAAAGTTAGGCTCTGTGTAGGTTTTTCATGTGATGGAATCAAAACACTCAGCAGAATGTGACTATTATAATATACCAACAACCCAGTAATGTTAATGGAAATAATGTGTAGAATCTTCATGGTACATTTAAAAGACAACAGGTGCAGTCTACTAATGACATAACTATCAGTGGTTGTATAGGCAGAGCATATACCATGAAGACTGGGCATATGGCAGTGATGTACAGATCAACAGGTATAACTTTCATTGGTTAAATCATGCAATCATAACAAGGCCAGAGACAAACCCTCTTTTTTAGAAATCAGCATGTGTGCATCTTTGAAATGTAGCTGAACTGAACCAGACACCATTCCAGAGAGGGACAGTCGAATCTTGACAGATAACAGCAGCTCAGACAAAGTGCAATTCACACCAACCCACCTCATCCTCCTCCCCTCCTTCCCAACATCTTCTTTCTCTTTGGTATGCAGGCAGAAAAGATCATGCCATTGTAACTTTTAACTATTGGAAAGTATTGACTGTGTAACATGTAACTCTTTAATGATCAATGTATAAAAGGGCCAACTGAGGACTGCTCAGGTGTACCATCTGGAATGATTCATTAGCAGCCGGTTATTGTCAAGAATAAATCTTTTAAAAGAAAACCTTCCCCTCTTGTGTATTTTGGGCATACGCATGGACCATTTGGTCAACAGAATCTACTTACAGTCACTATAAAATATACTACCATTTATCTGATGAGATATCAGCTGCTTCTAATATCTGTCAGTGTCCTACTTTGGTAGAAAATTCCACATGAAGAGTCCTTCATTGATCATTTGTATGCCCTGGCTGTATTTTTAACAGAACATTTTGGCTTGGAAGCAAATTACAAAGGTATTATTTGCTTGTGATTTAGCTTAATCAGGATTCTCTCTGCACCTGAAGTTTCAGACCCAGAGCATACGTCTGTCGGACCTTCACAGAAAAGCTCAGCTATGGAGAGGAATAGTTAGTATCACTTTGATTGAAGGTCGCGAACTCAAAGCCATGGATCCAAATGGGCTCAGCGATCCCTATGTGAAATTCCGTTTGGGACATCAGAAGTACAAGAGTAAGGTAACTTCTTTGAACTGTTTTCTCAGGTGGTAGAGGTTTTTAAATGTACCTTCAATGTACATATGTTAAATAGAATCACAGTTTTCTTACATTCTTTCAACTCTCAAACTGAAGTTTTGAACAGCCATTGGTATAGTAGAGACTTTTGTCTTTATGCTTAATGCTCCCCCTTCCCATCTTCTGATAATAATGGGTATTATTTAATTCTTTTCAAAAAGTATAAGTCAGCCCTTTTGTGTACAGGAGCATTTCTGCTCCTCCTTTATTGTGGGGCCTTGGACCAACTGCTCCACCAGTGTCCATACCCCAATTTTTATATGTCTTTATAGGGATTTCAGCTTTTCTTCAAATAGCAAACATTATCTCCCATACTCCCATACTCAGTACTGCCTGTTGAAAATCCTGTGAACTTCAAAAGTGGTTTTCTAAGGGTGCTACAATTGGAGAACTGAGCTTCAGTGTGTCACTGAGTACATGGGACCTTCTGCAGCATGCAAAGTATGTGCTTTATGACTCAGCTATGGCCCTTCACCTTCTGTGGGCAGTGCTTGTTGACATTAGGTTGCTTCCTCATAAACAGCATTATATGACTTTAGTCCAGGAGGAGAAGCCCAGCCTGGCTCTTATTTGTTGCTGATATCTGACTTACTCATATCCCGGCGAAGTTGCACCATGTGAATGGAGTTCCAGCATAGGGAGGATAAGTTAGGGAGCTGGAACTATGATGCACAAATATCATTGTACTGGTTTCAAGTCATCCAAGCACCCTTTATCAAGTATTCTGCTGGGGTACTGCCCACCACAGTGACCAAAAGTTTTTCCTAGCAGGGCTTGCAGAGCAATTCTTGAGAATAATTTGAGAACCCCAGGACCATCAGATACAGTTCATCTTTGCAGTCTCTATATATCTTCACAAGAGCTCTGCATCTGGATGGGGCCCATTGTCAGGAAGATGTCCAAGATAAACTTATCCTGGTAATATTGAGGAGGGTTCCCACCTTTGGTTCTCTTATGACCATCTCTTAGCTTGGCATTTACCATTTCGACTTGTTTCTTGCCTGTGCTTCTTAAACCTTTCTTCTTGAATACTCTGCTTTTTCCATGTTTTTACCCTAACTTCATCCTTTTCCAAAAAAGACAAAAACAAAACAGTTCTCCCCCCTTCTATTAACTCCCCCCTCCTCCCCTTCTTCATGGCCCAATATTTTGTTCTTCTGTTTTTCCTCTTCTTTCTTCCCCAGTTGCACTCAAGGTGGCATTTCAGAAGTGTGTTCTCTGTGGGAGTTATCTCCCTCCCAGAGATGAGCCCTCTTTGTGTATCTTCTGCCTCAGAAATGGGCACCTTGTGAAAGCCTGTCCTCATTGTCAGGCCTTCTCCAAGCAGGCCTGGAAAAACCATGCTAGGTATCTCAAGGCCAAGCTCTGGAGTCACACTCTCCAGGCCACTGATGTAGCTTCAGCAGTGCTTGGAGGGCATGTACCAAGTCGAGAAGATGGAGATTCCATTGGTGCTGCAACTTCCCTGAATGAATTTGGTCATTGTAGAGTCAACACGGGGCTGTTCACGGTAGGAGCGTTCAACACCAGTGTACAAGGAAAGAAGCTGTCTGGAATTGTTGGTGAGGCAGATCTACATGGATGAGTAGCATTGGCCCTTCGTATATTTTTAATTGATTGATTAATTATATTGATATACACCTCCATAGCCCACAGGATTTTCTGGGAGGTTTAAGTGAAGCTACTATGTCCTGCTACTAACTGTTCCTCTGGGAGAAGATGGGTTCCCTAGCACAAAACCTCCCAGAGGAATTTTGAGACCCATGCAGATTAGCAAGGCCTATCACCAAGTTGACTGTGACTCAAGGGCCCTCATCAACATGGTGGCAATTCGGTACCAGGGTTTGGGCTATGGGTCTTTCCCAAAAGGCTTGCTCCAGAATGGAGGATTTGATGGAGAGGGCCTCATTAACACTCACATGGTCAAGCAGCTGGATGCTGTCCACAAGGCCAGGACAGTATCCAAGATGTGCTTCTCAGCCCTTCTGCATCAGCAGGCACATAAATGGACTTGGGAACCCATTCTCATACCAACCCAGGAGCCAATATTTCTGGACTGTCCACCAGAAGCCTTTGGCCCAGATGCAAAAGAGTGATGTGACCTCCCAGTTCCAGCAGCAGAAGAGGAGGCTAGACACCAATAAGAAGCAGCAGCATTGACTGGCACAGCCAGCCAGTCTCCTTGCTTGGATCTGACTTGATGCTATACACCAGAGGACTTAACCATCCTCCAAGTAAGGTGTACCTGGCAGTGGTCACACTATTATTCCACCCACTAATCAACAGCCTTTAATTCTTTTCCTATTTGCTGTCACACTGGTTCCTTAAAGAGTTACAGAATCTTGTCCCACAGCTCTGCTCCTTTGTTCCCCACTGGTGCCTATTGGAGGTTTTGCAGACACTTATGAAGCCACCCTTTCAGCTACAGGCCACCACAAACTTGAGACTCCTCTCATGGAAGGCAGTCTTCCTTGCAGCTATCACATTGGCTAGATAGGCTGGTGAGTTAGGCATCTTGTGCACTGATCAACCCTTCAACCTCTCTTTTCTCTCTAAGGTGGCATTGCCATTTTAACTGAACCAGGGCATTGTTATGTCAGTGTTTTTCCCAACACCGGCAAAGTGGCATTCCAAGTCTTTTTGCCTGTCTCAGAGACTGGATGTTACAGTGAAAGGTCTAAGGGCAAGCTGGTTAGCTTCCAGTAACTTGCGCACTGGGTGCTCAAGACTATTGTGCTTGCCTACCAGCTGTTACATTTTACCTGTTACATCCCCCCCACACCCCAAAAAAAGGTTGACTGGAAAATGCTGGAGGTTGTAGGCTTTTTCTTTCCTAAAGAGGAATATGATTTCGCCTTATTATCTTTGAAAAGAAACAAGATAGATCTTCAATCTTTTCTTCCTTCTGCATAAGGTAAAAAGGGCAAAGCTATGAAACTGGTAAATGCTGTATCTGATCATTATTATCCATTAAAATGGCATTGTTTTGTTGTATTTCTAGCATGAAGGGTGTGATTTTCCTCTAGAGAATTTTAAGAAAATATTTTAGGAAACCCGAAAAATAGTTAAATTATTTACTATCCTAAAGAGGATACCAAGTTTGGCTTGAGCATGCCTTATTTCCTAATTAAATGTTTCAGAATGATTTCTGCAAGCATTTATTGTTTCCAGAACTCCTTCTTAGCTGCTTCAAAATATTCCGGAAGGTAGAAGACTTCACAGCTTTACACCTTTCTTTACTTTTTTCAGATTATGCCAAAAACATTGAATCCTCAGTGGAGGGAACAGTTTGACTTGCATCTTTATGAAGAACGAGGTGGGATTATTGACATTACAGTGTGGGACAAAGATGCTGGCAAAAAGGATGACTTCATTGGCAGGTTTGTCTAACTATGAATAATTTATGTTCCGAGAATTGCTTGAGCTGTAGTTCTCAATTAATTCAAGTAAGCTCTTGCTGTTGAAAAAGGAGGATGAAGATCTTGAAATTACTTTAAGGCACAATCCTATAGCCTCCTGACATTGTTGGGGAACATAGGGTTATTTGGAGTCCCAGCTTCAAGGTCCTGTGATGTTCTTGTTGGGACTTGAAGCTAGGACTCCAGTGGCTGTGGTCCCGCCCTGTCTGCCCCACCCCTCCTTGCAGGCAGCACAGAAAGAACCATACCACCTGCTTCTCTGAGGTTGCAAATTGGCCTTGGATAGAACCAAAAGGATCTACTTGTGAGGATGAGCTTTATGCCATATTCAGACTGAGCCCAGTTCTCCTTCCTTTCCACTTCACGCCACTTCATCTAGATGGCCCACTGCATGAAGGCTGATGGGGGTGAAGATTTCCACCACACCTTGTATTTAACTCAGTGTATTCTATGAAGGTACATCTTCAGATTTGGAGGGCTATGTGTATTGAGGGCAAGAGGGCATTGGGTTGCACCCTCTGTTAAATCTCTTCAGTTTTATATAGAAAATAATTTTCCTTGACCAGTAGGTGGCAGATCATACCAACGAAAAAGTATCCCTTTTCGAAGTTGAGTTGCAAAAGAATCAAGCTGCAGGAAGTTCCATTGGTAATATTTGGAAGGAAATGCTAACCAAGGATTGGCCATTCCTTATAATAAAACATTTTGTGATGGCGTGTGTGTGTGTAAAACTGCTCAATATTTGTTCTGCCAGTGAGAATTTTCTGGATGAATTGATTTGAAGTAACTGATATACATCCTTATCACTACTCTCAAAAGAGAATTATTTGTTGTTAAGTGGTAAATCCTTCCTGTTTGTATCTGTTGACTTCAGATTCAGAAGAACTTTACAGAAATTGGATTCAGATACTCAATTAGACCACTAACTGATATTATGGACTAATTTTTTTCCTAATGATTGGCTACAATTTCATCATAGTGCTAAACTGTAGTTGGTATTCATTAAACAAACTAGGATCTGGCTCCCAGACTGTTAAAGATAGCATGGTGTATTTCCTGTAAAGTGCTTTACTTCCATCTGCCTTCCCTATGACTACCTGGGTACTGTCTGTCATTCTCTACATCAATTATTTCCTCTGTGAATAATGTAAAAGTAATGTCTGGTTTTTTTTCTTGCATTCATATTAAATGGTGAATATACTGAAGTGAAAACTTGAGTATAAAAAGTAGACAGAAATGTATTTATTTTCTTCTTATGAGAGTAGTAGCTTTTAATGGTTAAAACTCTATTTTAGAAGCTGTAGCTTGGCATTTCATCTCACAAAATTCATTTTGTGGGATTTATGTGTATACTTAAGCCCTGGAACATCCTGACTGTTGTTTGCTGTGAACTTAATTTTCATGCAGGAGATAAGGTCAGCCTTGGCTGCTCATTATTTATTGGGGAGCAGCTTTTTGCTGTTCTTCTAATGGTGTTTCTTCCTGGGCATGTTGAATTCTCAGGTGTTTTGCAGCCTGCTTTGCTATCCACCAGTTCATGCAATTTATTGTTAGTATTCCTGTAGACTTCAGAGAGCATCTCCATTGCCATGGTACCGCAATAGTAAGAGAGCTTCCCTCTTGCCAGCAACTCCTCCTCACTTACCCTCTTTAGCCTCTGTAGTTGTAATGGACCCAGTGGAACTAAAGAAGCTCCTGTCTGTATTGCACAAATGCCCTAGTGTAGCATTTATACACTATGGTATTGGCAGGATAAAAGCACCACAACTACAGCCTGCTGCAAGCACAAGGGAACGGATTTTGCTGGAATGGAGTTCGTGCCTCACATTTTATGCATTCCAAAGCAGAGCACTAGTCCACAGAATGAGGTCACTGAATAGATTCCATTGTTCATAATGTAATAAAAAGAGTCTAAAAAGCAGTGTATATCTCCAGTAGAACTGGAAACTAATAGTTTTCCTGCAGCATACCATGATGGGGTCCACATGAGGGCTGCATATTTGAATGGTCCCCTAAGGGAGTGTACCATTAAAGCCTGCATATTTGAATTGTACTCCAGAGGAGGCAAATTTTTGTAGAGATTTTATCAGGGAAAAGGGTAGGTAGTAATCTCCACACCCCCACAGCACATGCATGAGCATTTGTGCACTTGCGCGCACTCTCTCTCTCTCTCTGCCTCTTCATCCAATGCAGAAGCATTTAGCCATACAACTTGTGACTGAAGTTGTAGTGAGAAGTTAACCTACTGTTTAGCTTCCTAACCAATGATTGGAGCTTGCAACACCATTTAAAATGTCAGGATACATCCTGTAAGCCTTGTGTGGAAATTTGATTACCTTGTCTGGGATATTTACACTGGGAGAGATGGGGCTGTTACCATGGCAACTATTGTCTCTCCTCCTTCCTTGTATACTTGAAAAAAAGAGATACCTGGTAGGTTGGGACTGTTTAAACTTTGTAAGCCATGATTTAAATAGTGTATTAAAAAAGAAAAAAATGTTTGAGTATTTTGGGG